CACTCACTCACTCACACACACACACACACACACACACACACACACCATTAACAGCCCATTTCACACACCTGTCTGACACACACACACACTCATCAGATCCATGACAAACACTGTCATAAGAAAAATCATTTAATAAACAAATTGAATAAATAATAAATAAAAAACATGGAGCAGTATAATGCCCATTGCAATTCTGTGTCAAATAAAAATACTGGTCACACTTTAGTTTGGAGACCAATTCTCACTATTAACTAACTATTAACTATGACTTTTGCCTCAATTAACTCCTAGGGTTTAGGACTAATGGATTTAAAATATGGTCATGCAGAATAAAGCATTAATATGTGCTTTATAAGTACTAATAAACAGCCAATATGCTGGTAATATGCATGCTAGCAAACAACTAGTTAATAATGAGAATTGCTCCCTCAATTGAAGTGTTACCAAAACATAACTATTGAGAAATATCCCTCTGTTAGAGTTATAAGCACAGATATATAAATACAATAATAAAAGTTATATAACAAGTTATTATTATGTTGTTGTTGATGATGATGATTATTATTAGCGTTTTCTTAAGCGACATCCCTCTGTTAGTGTCATAAACGCAGATATATTAATAGACATAAGTTCTAATATTAACAATAAACAATAATAACAACAAAATAACCATTATTATTACACGTGGTTAATACATTCATTATTATAATTAATTATGTTTACAACGTGTAATAATAATAATGCAATTACTATGTAAATAAGGAATCTTTCTATCACATGTGCAAGTTTTAAGTTAATTATCTTCATTTATCGGGGATTTTCTTAGCAAATAAATTTAAAAAAAGCAATGCAATATTTTATTGATCAGTTGATTGGTTGATTAATACCTAGACAAAATTGTGGACTTTTTGGATTTCTGCACTTATTTTAGGAGGAATTCTGCATTAACACAAAAGAGTTATGATGATAGTACTTAACTCTTATTAGCTGCTGAATAAACATATACAAACCAAACAATTAATGTGCAGGCGCTGTAATATTCATTGTGAAGGATGTACAAAATTCTGCCAAAATCATCGTGCGGGTCGATATTCCAGATGAACTCATAACAGCGGTTTAAAGCAGTCAGTGATCTGCAGTCATCAGCAGCTCGTCTGATTGTCATCACGTTCATGTGAAATGTTGACACTTCAGACATAAAAGTGGGACAATTTGAGGCCTATATTTGAGAGTGACATGCTTCTGTCTGTTCATGTCTGCGTGTCATAGTGCTGTTAATATCCTAATACAGTCATTATCACCAGCCGCAGAGGTGTAAATGATTTATCCCGTATAGATCTGTGATCCGAGCTCATCATGTCGGGAAACAGACAAAGAGCAGCATGTGAAACACTGTTAAGCCCTTCGAGAAAAACCTGGCTCGCACGCTCATGTCCAGAAAGAAAGGCCTGACCTAAATATGGCTGAAAGACACGACGTGTGACCTGCCTGAAGCCACGAGCCGCTCGGAGCGGATGACAGCAATATGTCCAGATCTGACCCGCGTGCAGTCGCACAAAAGTTCAGCAAACTCTGGTTTCATTGCAGCGGCGGCGTGCACGGTCTAATTAAAAGCTCTCCTGCGATCCGGATTGTTTTGCTGCATTAATAACATTATTACCTGTAGGTGATATTCTTTCAGGTCACGCTGGCGTTCTTTCGTGATGTTTTGAATGCAAATGTGACCAGCGG